GATTCCCTTGACTTCGCCCTGAAGCAATGACCAGCCAGGCGTAGGCGCGCCTTGCTGACTCAGAAGAGGATGCCCCCGAGCCTTTCTTCGAAGTGGACCCTACCCGCATGAATAGCTGACCATGTTTTCGGGATAGAGGGCCAGTTTTTCCTCCTCGTTGTTCACTCTTATCATTTTCGGAGCGGTGAGCGACACTGATAGACCGTGGTGCGGGGGAATCTGTTCGGTGCCAGCCGGTCGTGGCTTTGTTGGTGGCGGACTCTCCTCGTCACTCGCATGTCGATCGAGTCTACTGTTTTTTTTTTTACATTAAGCTCAAATAAACGCCGTATGGATTACCTATGCATCGCCTGGTACGTTCACTTTATTTATTGAGTAGGTTCCCTTTATTACTTTTGGTAGTAGTACACATTACAGGTTGAGCTAGCACAGGTACCCTGCCAGCTCCGCGGTAGTGTGTTGGCTACTCAATTACGCTCACGACGTTCATGCTTTCATTCACAGCACAAACATTATTCATGCTTTCGCATTCAAAAGTCATAGAAGTGCTTAAAGGGGCGATGCAACAATTTTTGTACTTTGCGCAAATACCTCTTAGAACAGATCCTTGACGTTAATGACCTATGAAACACGCTTTCGTTTTTCACTTCACGCAATAGAAGTCCCAGAAAAAAATTTAAGAAAAACGAGCAGCGTTCACCCCTTCAACTCGCAGCCAGAACAAGCGGCCACGCGATCTGGAGCCGATTATATGCCGCCAATGTTGATCATAGGCACGCGCTGGGGTTGGCAAAGCACAGGACACGCGCTGAGTTCCAGACATTGTTATGGCTCGGCTATTGTCGTCGTTGCAGCGATTAGACGCGGGCGACTACCCGAATGCTTCTCGAGCTAGTAATTATCACGAGCCCAAATCGAGTGCCCACGCAGGGCTCGGGTCCAATCTATGAACCGCATTCAAATATCGTCACTTGGGTGTTCTGCGATCCCCACGTTACGTCATCAAATTTTGCAAAGGAGAGATTGAACGAAAATAATTGCTTTTGTCCTTGAAATTTCACCGCAACAAGGGAGTTTCTTGGCCAGTGGCGTTGCGTGCGAGTATCCTTGAGTCCCACTAGTGCCAGTAAGCTCGTGTATAGTGAAAAACATTCCAACTGAATATCGTTGCACAGCTTCTTTAAATGTCTTCAGATTTTTTTTTTTGCGATTATTATTGCACGAGGAGAAAAATTAAACAATGTTTCATAGTTTGTAAACATCAGAGATTCATTAGGTCTGTTCGATTCGCCTGAACTTACTGAACTAGTTCAGCAGTGCAAGAATTGGTGCATTCGATTCAACCGGAAGTTGTACGGCCGCTGCACTGGCGCGTTCGATTCATCGCAGTTCTGAACGAGTTTAGACCCAGTTCCTCAAAATCTTGCACCGGCTCCGGAGTCAGTTCAGCGTCCATGCAGAAGCAGACAAGAGCAGACGGTGCTAGCAGACGACACTCCTCGTCCGTCTGTGCTCGCGGTGCCATTTTTCGCAGCTCTTGCTCAAATGTCTGCGATGTGTAACAATAACGCCTATACTGAGGTTGCGTTTCCTCTCATTTATGATAATAACATAGCCGCGGTGGACGCGGAATTTAGATTATAACCGAGGGTAGGAATTTGATTGATTATGATATTCTGAAAGCGTTTTAGGCACCTGCTCGTGTAGATTTGGCTCCCTGTGGTAAGTGTTGAAATATTGGCTGACGTAAATTGTTTCTTTTTGATGCTATGTGGGGATCCAAAGTGTTGATATTCTTCCTTACAGACACGGGAAAGGTATTGCACTCTTGATAGTCCCCGACTTCAGTTGCTCTTGGGTGCATACTGACGACTCCGATACATTGCAGATGTCTGAGATTTAGTACATGGGCTCTCGCATGCCCCGTAGCTGAGCATAATACTGCATGCTTTGTCCGCTGGTATCTGTGGACGCCCACTAACGGGCCTGAGGAAAACGCCGAGAATCGGAATTGGCTTGGTAGTTCTACGCAGGTCTTTCTTGAGAATCAGAATAAACGCTTCAGCTTGACGCCAAAGTTACGGTCGATAACTGCCTTGGCCAAAACGCTATCGTCAGGCCTTCGTCTTCGAGGTGACCCGATCGCGCGCTGCCGCCAGTGAATCCCGACGCAAAATCACCCTGATGCCGCGAACCTATTGTCGAAATGCGAAACTCGAGAGACTAGGAGTGAATCTACTATTGCTAAATGAATGTGAAGGACACGAACGTTTATGGAAACGACAGGAACCGAACGGCCGTTAAAAATGCAGACAGAAACACGTTTCGTGCAGAAAACGTTTTTAGTACACTCGAATAAAAATTTTCACAGAAAAGATTCCGTTATTATACTTTAAAACTAAGGAAACACGAATGGTCTCATCAAACCGCGACTAATTAAATGTAGCATACAACGTGGCGTGGAGAAACAAGAGCCAACAGATGCAGACGACACCCTGCGCTTCCGCTCGGAAAGCCGATCACAGCGCCAGTCCTATCGCGGCGGCTGCACTGGTTCTGCGCCGCCGCTGCACAACTCCCGCACTCCTCTGAACTCGGACAGAACTGGTTCAAAACTTTCTGGCCGAATCGAACAGACCTATTATAAAGCCTGATTCACATGATGCGAATTTACTTCCGATTTCGCAAGTGCTTCCACCACGCTTTTATTTGCCACACGAGCGATGTCGCAACTGCGAGATCGCAAGTAAAATTACACCATGTGAATCAGGCAAAAGTGGTATTTATGCAATGTGCAAAACTCGTTGCACCTCCCCTTTAAAAGCAGACATGGACCAATTATTCAAAGTAATTAAGCTAAGTTACTGAATACTGACGTCAAAAGTAATTTGAGTAGAGCAGAAATTACTCATATTGAAAGTAATTGAGAAGACTACTAATTACCTTAAAAAAAGTAGCGAATTACTTTTGAAGTTACTTTTGAAGTTACTTTTATATGTTTTTTTATGGTAAAAAAAGTACAGAGGTTTTAATCCGTTAGCGAAATTGTGCTAGCCAAATATGAATGGGCTTGTTTTTTTTCACAGAAATGTTTTAATAGCTGGTTCTGCTTTTGAGTGCGTAATTGTTTTGTACTTTCTTGTTTGTTTGGTCAATGATGTGTACTGCGAATATGTCATTTCTACCTTGAGGTTTAGCACTGTCTGAGCTTGATTATTTAGACAGTGTTTGCTTGTTTACAGTGTTGCGTAAAGTACATCTAAAAAGTACTTAAGTAAAGTACAAAGAAAATTAGAGGTTATGTACTTCAAGTAAAGTAGTAAGTACACCGGGTACAATGTACTTGAGGTAACGTATACAAATACAATATATTTCAAGGTAAAGTGCAAGCACTGTTGACACAATCTTTCATGGGGTCCTTTCATTCCCTCTACAGTGTTTTTTTAACTGGCATGCATTGCTCCAGTGTGATTGGAAAAGCATCAGTTTTTTACGGAAATGACAGCAAATATTGTATAAAGTCAAGTCGCCACAAAACAGTTGTTTTACTCTCGCTGACGAGCTATTTGACACAATCAACTTATAAGGAACTTATTTCCATCGGTCTTACAGTCGCCATTACTTCACTCGGAGAAATGACCGGATGACGTCTCGAAAGAGCGCGTTTTCCCACAACGATACCGCCATTTTTTGTTTTCAAATTCGGGGAATGTACCTTGAATCCGGGAGTTTTAGTTTCCTTGGAAAATAAAAGTACATGTTCAGAGAATTTACTTGAAGTAAAGTACATTTTTTCTAAACAGTAGTATTTTAAGTACCATGTACATAGAGTACTTCACTACACTGCTCGTTTAATATTTTTCATATAAAAACGTTGGGGAAATTACTTCAGGTTTTTCGAACAATCTTTGAATCTGAGAAGATCTGCATATTCTGAGTTTTGGGAGGAAAGGCAACGCAAAAAGGTCACCTTTGCGTTGACCTTTAGCGCGCGATTCTTCGAGTACAGCACGAACTACGGGAGCACTAGATGAGTTTCAGAGCAGGTACTGCATTTTGTTGCCTCCTTCGAGTAAGGATGCAGTGTGTGCACCTCCTGGGGGTAGTGGGCGAGAGTTTCAACGTTGGGGAGACGCGGGGACCAGACCTTTCTTCAAATGGGTCAAGTATCCTTGAACTTCGGGACACAGAGAAACGCTAGTCTTCAGCGCTAATCCCGCAGTTACTCGGTCTCTCTTGCTTCGTGTCTGTTCGCTCCCCGCGCCTCGTAGCAGTGCCGTTGCAGGGGGAGGGGGGGGGCGAGGGAGAGGGGGGGGGGGGAGGGGGCGGGGGCCGGGGGCGGCTTGTGAAAATTTTGGAGGGTTTCGGACTCTCCAAATCATTTTATCCCCCCCCCCCCCTTTTCTACTCCATCATGCTTCCCCCTCTTTGCAAATATCAGCTGATCTTCCAACATCTTATCTCCTTTGCGCAGGAATGTTTGTTGATAGGCAAAACAACCACTAAAATTCGAAAGTAATTTGTAACTTGAGTAGAAGTTACTAAAAAAAAGTAATTAAAGTAAAATACTAATTACCGAAATAAAAATGTAATCGAAAGTTACTAAACTACTCAGAAAAGTAGTTAAACTACAGTAACCTGAGTAGAGTAGTTGAACTACGTACAAGTCTGTTTAAAAGTGGATAACGTCTCCCCAGGTTATCCTGGGCGGCGGTCTGGCCCACTTCAAAGACAAGCAGACGGGCGGCGGGAAGCGAGGCGACGGCATGAACCTCATCGAGGACTGGAAGAGGTCGAAGCAGAACCGAAAGTTCGTCACCAACAGGGAGGAACTGCTGGCCGTGGATACCAACGCTACTGACTACCTTCTCGGTACGCGGACATTGTGGAGACAGCATGAAAAAAAGCGTTTCTGCATCCTTCAACATTTTTCGGATGAGGTGGTTTCATGGATGGGCCTCAGGTAGTGCCGGAAGTCGTAAGCATGCAGAGAGAAAAGCGCATGTGAGAACGCTTGATAATTCCGTGGTGAAAAAAAGGGAACCGCGAGTCTTTGGATACACTGAAAAAAAAGAAAAAAAAGAAACAAGTCTAAATGATAATATAACTTTAAAAACAACCCCCAAAAAAACAACTGTTGGCAAAAAGCCGGATAAAACTCCGAGGGTTGCAGGAGCGAATTCTGTATCAACTTATTTATTCGAGCTTCGATTAACTCGCGACTCTTTAAATTTCGCACCTCGCGTAGCAAGAAAGCAGAACCGGCCGAGGTGAGACCAGTTCACAAGCCAGGTTGAGGTCTCCGTTTGAATGCCTTGCAGAGCGTCAAATGTCATGGTTCAGCTGCGTGTTAGCATTTACACCCTTAACCGCAGTTAAATCTGACCAAAGTCAGACTTAACTGCGATTAAAGGTGCCCCTGAAGTTATAGTTGGCCCTAACTGCTAACCATACTTAAGCGTGACTAGAGTTTCGGATGTCCGTCGGGCACCCTTAGCCGGAGTTAGTCCGACCTCAGTTGCACTTAACTGCGGTTAAGGGCGCCCGTGCAACCAGGGTATATCATCCGTCATCTTTGTTTCCAACCTCTGGAGAGAGTGATTCGATCTAAGTTCCTTCTCGGTGCCCAGGGCTGTTCGCAGACGATCACATGGCCTACGAACTTCACCGCCAGGAAGGTTCCTTGAAGCAGCCGTCGCTAGTGGACATGGTGACCACAGCTGTGAAGCTGCTAAGAAGAAACGAGAACGGGTTTGCCCTGATGGTGGAAGGTACATGGTGTTCGTTTCGGAGGGAACACATACCTAGAGTGAAAGAGAAATTGGGTCCTTTGTTTTCTGATGCTGCAGTGCTGCGTACTTTTGATGGACAAGAGAGTTGTAAAAGTTGCTTTATTAAAACTATTAAGTATCAATAACACTTGCTTTTGTTGAAATCAAAGTGTCTCAGAAATTATTGTATGTTTCCTAATGTATTCAACTGCGATTATAATTCGACCGAAGAAGTAACTAAGTAATGTCGCTGTTAGTTGGGAGCATCGAAGGGAGTGTAATGAGATCAGACTTGTGCCTATCTGAAATACTCCACTCAAGATACTGTATTTCAAATACTTTTGTTAGTAACTTGGCATCTTGCAAATACATTTGATCAAAAGTTTTTACTACTCTATCTTAATTACATTTCTTAGTATCCTGTACTTATCATCTCGAATGCGTTTTTCACTACTTAAAAAAAAAAAGTGTCGCCCAAAAGTTTTACGGGAATAGGAATCGGCACACCCCGGAGCAATGTTGAGCAGTGGTAATCTTGGAGGGGGAACGGCCGAACACCAGACAGAAAACAAGTCAGGACCAAAATTGCAGGCTCATAAATCCAACAAACGAACGAGAAGGAAATGAGTAAAAGATACCAGAAGACATATCGTGCTTCTGTTTTGCTTTCTATGTTTGAACCCGCTACCGCAAGTGTGTCAGCTTCTTTCGCCAGTCTCGCACTCCCGGCAACACTGTCTTCGCCCCCCCCCCCCCCCCCCCCCCACACACTTTTTCATAAGAACTGATATTGTAACAGCAGGGCAGGAAACAAGCTAGTTGAAGGATGAGTTCTCAATATGGAAACAGAGTTTTCCCAAAGTTGAAGGATGAGTTCTCAATATAAAAAAACAGAGTTTTACCAAAGTTGCAGACCTTTCTGAACGCGCTTCGTAGTATAGAGAAAAATAAACAAATGGTGAACCACGAGAAAAACTGAATTATTCGTGCTCCCCTGTGCCTTCAATTTTTGAAGTTCAGACATCTCCGAACGCGGCATTTGGGTAACCTGCTTGCGTTTTAGTTTAACTTGAACTCCTGATTTAGAGACTTCGGCGCTTAGTGAAACGATGCACCAAAGGTGCGTGATAAAAACACCACAAGTGGTGATTTTCTGCAGCGTCAACTCTTTTTACTTTTTGTAACATTCACCAGTGTGACACTACTCTCTGTACTTCGACTGCATAAAAGAGCACTGCGATTTCGTTTTATTTGCATCTGCTGATTGGAAGTTTAATATTCTAATGTCACTGAAGTTCATACAAATTATGCAATAGACCGATCTCACCAGCCAGTTTGGCCACGCCACCGCTGCCGCTGTGCATCGAGGGAGCTTTGGTCTTTTTACACGTGCGACAACCACGCTGGAGCTCTGCGCGTTCAAAGCAGGAGGCGGCACGAGCCGTGTCGGGCACTGCCACCCTCCTACTGCGTACTAAAGTTAAGCGCAGACCGCATGGCGCGTTTCTCTACACGCGAAAACGCGACGCGCTATGAACGCTCGCGCGGAAGCTGACACATGCAGACAAAGCCAAGCACCGCCGGCCGCGTGTTATCAGCGTTACCAGATAACAGAATTCTCAAAACGCGATGTAAGTGTTACGCAAATACTACAAAATGAGAATTAAATGAAAAAATAAGTAAATAAAATGGGTTTGTGTGTCAAAAGAAACACCTTTTCAATTTTTATATGGAAAATAAAAATGCTTTTGAACACTATTGAAATGTGCCGAATACGAAACAGCGTACTGTGCAGGATCACGTGATAGTTTGACCGACCCTCATTGGGCGAGAGCCGCTTCGACGCCTCGGCGCGCGCGTCTTGTTCTGGGTCGGCTAGAAACCAACGCCCCCGCGAAAACGCGCGCCCGCGCGCAGGAAATGACGTCAGTATAACGCCGACGCGCATGAATCGCGAGCAAAAACGCGCCATGCGGTCTACGCTTTGTGGCGGCTTCACGCTTGCGCCGGACGCTTGGTGAGATCGGTCTATGCAGAAATATCTTCCAAAGTAATTATTACATTACGAAGTATTTGTACTCTACTCAAGGTATTTTGCAGGGAAAGTACGTTGAATAGTACTCTAAATACTTTTTGAGGCAGGTATTTAGTCACTTATCTGAAATACTTTTGTCGAGTATCTTGTCCAACGCTGAATGAGATTCACGGATGTCAAGCGAAGCGCTCTTTTTTCTTTCTTGTTTACACCTTGCGGCGCCATCATGTGGCCCGGGGGGCGGGAAGGGGAGGAATCCCGGACAAACGCTCACCGGACAAGAGCTCACCGGACAGAAGCTCACCGGACAGAAGCTCACCGGACAAAAGCTCACCGGACAAAAGCTCACCGGACAAAACCTCACAAATTTTTTAACAGACCCGGACAAAAGCTCACCAGGAAAAAATTTCATGTTGGTCTTATAAAGAAACCAAGTTTAGAGAAAACGTCGATGAGCCTCCTTTTAGCGAATTCGGTCACCGCGAAGCGGCGTGTACGGATAAGTCAGGTGAGTTAACCGCAGACTGCCGCCGCGGCGGGAGCGCAGCAGGGGGTTTGGGTTAGCACGCGCACCAGTGATTCACGCGCGAAGTCGAAAAGCCTTTTTTAAATAGCGTCCCCATTTCGATAAACGGCATATCTCTAAACAGAGGCTCTGCTTTCTCTAAACCGAGCTTCAATAAAACGTACCCGTTCTCTAAAAGATGTTTCGACGAAATGGCCTTCGACGAAATGGCCTTCGATCAACCGTAGTAAACCCTTGCGTGGGATGGGGTACAAGTTTACCTAAAAATGGTGCAATGTCCATCGCGTCCGCATTTTATTTCAGCCCGTGTTTCGCCCGGGTAGTGAAAAAAAAATGAGGCGAGCTTTTGTCCGGGTCTGTGAAAAAACGGGTGAGCTTTTGTCCGGTGAGCTTTTGTCCGGTTACCGAAGGGGAGGGGGGGAGGTCAAGCTATTGCCCCCCCCCCAAAAAAAAAAAAAAAAATCTGCCTAGGAGTTTGCCGAGTTTATTAAACTATTTGGTCTTTTTTTTTATAATTCATTATAGGCGTATTTGTGGCACTCCTGCCCTGGTCTCACCACCGCGATGAGGGTATTAATATACGTTAATTCATTACTTCAATAAGTAATTGTCTACTGAAAATCTTACTGCTTCTAGGAGGTCGCATAGATCACGGTCATCACGAGAACCGGGCCGTCCTCGCTCTCCGGGACGCCGTAGAACTGAGCAACGCAGTGGCGGCGGCGATGGACCTGACCAGCCCCAAGGAGACCCTGGTTCTGGTGACCGCCGACCACTCGCACGCCTTCACGCTCAACGGCTATGCCCCGAGGGGCAACTCCATCCTCGGCAGCGGCGGGGTGTCCGAGAGTGACGGCATGTCTTACACGACTCTCTCGTACGCCAACGGACCCTCGACAACCAGGAGAAAGAACGAGACCGACACTGGTGAGAAGAACGCTGTCCACCAGTTACAAGAACCGTCCATGTCGTGCAGATATAGCAATGGCGAGAAACAGAAAACAAATTCAAGATCCGAACGGAGCGGGCGCTCCTGATCTCGAGCATGCGTCGTTGGTCTTTCCCACGCTGTAAGATACACTCTTTAGGTGAGGACACGGCAGGGCCGAATGCGCGGCGCGAGGAATCGGATAATGTTCGTTCGACGGGCATCCGAAAGGCTGCATCATTCCGCGGCCACCGTGCCCGTGGCTGACAGTGTCGCCGGCGGCCAAACGGCGAAACACTGTGATGGGAAAAAAAATTATCTCGTTGCCATGACACCACGGTACACCATGGTCTTTCTGCACGAGCGACAACCTCGCTGGAGCTCTGCGCGTGACGAGCACGAGGCGGCACTAGCCGTCTTTGCCATGCCCACGGGTCGACGAGTCATCTGCCGGCGCCGCCTGAAACCATATTGAGAGAGAGAAAGAGAGAGAGTGAAAAGCGAACTTATCTGCACTGCGCGAGGAGCGTGCTGTCCTCACCTGAAGAGCGTTATCTTACACCGTGGTCTTTCCTAAGACTGAGTATGCCGCGTGGTATTCGCGGTGAGAAGCTCCCTAGGGGCGCTTGTGTTTTCCTCACTCTAAAGCCCTTCATGTTTTAAAAGTAGCGCAACGTGCGCCGATGCACGAGGCACGTGCAACGTGCAGCCCTTGGGAAGATAATGGCGGCACAGCGCAGCACTGAGCTAGATTTCAGGCGCCATGTTCTTCCCAGAAGTGGTGCGCGGCACGTGTATCGAGCATTTCCACAACAATGAATGGCGCCACTTTTGCCAGGATAGAGGGGCTTTACTTCACTCTGGGTAGTGCACGTGCTACCCAAGCGGTTATGTTTTAATTTTCATAGTGCATAGAAGCTCGGCATTGGACGTGCTCGCACCAGCAGAGGAAGTTGAAGTATCCTCACTCTAGAATCTCTGTTGCGTCATTATTCGCAACTGTCGCGACCTATGGGGGGCACACTAGTTCCTATCAAAAACAACTGTAATCTGAATGATCGTCGTAGAACAGCAGTATGAGGTTGGGTGTGCGACGCGTAATTCTAATTTTCTGAAATACGAGCGATATAAGAGCCTTACCTCATTCTTGTATGTCAGGAAGGTGTAGGCAAGCAACTTACTTATGAAGCCTATCATTTGGGAGTTTGGGACCGTCGCTGAAAGTTGCGTATTGAAATCCAATTAAAAAGGGAAGAAGATCGAAAGATATTTAGGATGCTTGCACATGGTTGCCATAGAGCAGGCGACGTCTCTATTATCACTGAATGAGGACAATCAAAGGAACTAATTATTGCTGTTCTCTGCCACAGTAAAGACGGATCGCTGCTGTGTGGCAGTATTTTCTTACCTGAAACTCGGAAGATAAGTTCACTGTTTATTCTTTATTGTTTTCTGCTGTATTTAGACCCTATAGATTATATAAAGCAGTAAAGTTACAATTAGCTTCAGCATGTGATTTTCGCTTATCACCCCTCTATTTTTTTATCAAATTTACGATGGCAAACAAGATTCGCACTAAAATTAAATTTACAAGAGCAGACAACCCATACGTGGATCACCATACTTTCCGCAGAGTCGTCAGACTACCAGCAAGCAGTGCTGGTACCCCTGAAGCAAGAGACCCACGGTGGCGAGGACGTGGCTCTGTACGCTTCCGGCCCGATGGCGCACCTCGTCCGCGGAGTCCTGGAGCAGAACGTCGTGGCGCACATCATCGAGTACGCGGCGTGTCTTGGCGACGGCACGACCCGCCGCTCCAAGTGCCTCGAGTCCTCCTCTGCCCCGTGCCGACTGGACTTTGGCCTGTGGGCGGCGTTGGCCGCTTTCCTCCTGGTCTTTAGGTAGAACCCTCTCTTGCCTTGAGCCGCGCTCACACTGCTACTGCATCGTCCAAATGACACTCTGCAGACTGTCTGAGGCATGTTCCGTCCTCGTACGACGGCCCTTTTACGTTGGTCATACAAAAATCGGCAGCGACCTTTATCTGCAAGGTTCCATGGTTAAAGTATTTAAGGAGCGATCGTTTACAGTTTTTTTTTTCTCTAGAAGTTAGTAAACAGTCGTATCGGGGAGTGAATAAAAACCAATATTTTTTTATTAATTCCTTCGCTAAATTTAGCGGGGAAACAGACGGATCACGTGACATCAATTTCCACGTCAAGGCTAACGGGAAAACTGAATTGATGTATAAGTCCCGTGACGTCAGGTCACGCCATGTTATTTTTCCTTGAAATTCAGCGGGGAAACTGCATTGGCGTTTAGGCCATGAGACGCCAATTTCCCCGGTGAACTTAGCTTAGAGACTGTATTGGCGTGTAAGTCACGCTGTGTCAATTTACCGTTAAGTTTAGCGGGAAATGCAGGAACGGACGAACGGAAAACATGTTCGAACTTGCGGTTCCGTTAAAAAACATTTCATGCTTTAAAAAAGTGTCTGAAGACATGTTTGGAACATGTTATGCAGGAAGCAACCATGCTTCAAATATGCTTGAGGCGATCTTTCCGCCGCTGATTCATAATAGGGAGTTTTAGGGAACCGTTTTTGCACACCCGATACGGTACAATGGGCCCTCTGGTACGAACTGCGCATGCGCTACCATAGAAGACTCGCGCATCCGCAGTTCGTACCGGAGGGCCCGATGTACCGTGTCGGAAAAACGGTTCCCTAAAACTCCCTAATGTCTGCAGCGAACAGCGCGTGTCTTTTGTATGGTGCATGAGCAGTTGGAGTGCGGCTCGAGGGAACTCTCCAGGAGAGCTGCTATTCTTAGATAGTTCGCGAGGACTCCCCTTTTTGTTCGCTGTATCGAGGGCGCTCGCGGATGGCCCGGAGGTTTGTTGATTCCATAGAGTAGAAAGTTGCGAAAAGTAGGTCTATTCGTGCAGAAATCCGGGGATGAACAGCGCTGCTGGGATATAATTGAGGATCTGTTGGGATGAGCACGAAGGGGGGCACGTCCCTTCTGGAGAGACGCTTTGAATTTACCTTTTGCTCCCCAACATCTATTCTTGATTTTAAGCTCCAGTTCGATATATGTATAGGGCGCAGCCTCGTAGTTTCCCCGGAAAATGTATGTAGTGTTTAGATTTAAGTTGGCTGAACTTGAACGCGGTTCTGGTTGTTAGGCAACGTACAAATCTGGGGAACTTTTTTGTTGTTGTTAGACGTTGCTTTCACGCCGCCACTGGACTTACCTAGTTGCATTTCTTGAGGAAGCTTCTTTGCAATAATTGCATATTTTCAATTACAGTCTTTTCCATTTCACGGAATACCCGATACCCTAAAACTTGCCTTAGTGGAAGTTGGTTGGCAGCGATTCACACGACTACGATTATTTAATTATCCCTGCCCATGCGATATTTTTTTCGAAGATACACCTTTGCGAATGACGCTTTCTTATACTACTTTTGAGATGAGCAGCAATGTCGCAACAACCGTAGCGCGACGAATAATTAAGGGAACATAATTAGCTTTTTGACGACTAAAGAATTTCGCTGTACCGCCTTTTGAAGTACTATCGCTGACAATATGAGGCCGAAACAGTCCTCCATACTTTTATGTTGTACATGTCAGCTTTACAAAAAAAAAGAAAAACTGTAGTATTAAGTAGGAATAGAATGCGAACTTGAGGACCGATACCTCGGACTATTTGAGAAATTGAGAGATAACGGAGCTTTTTGGACGCTGAAAAGACCGGGTTCGGTGTTTCAGCTCATATTGTCAGCGAGGTATATCTTTGTTAAAATTGTTAGTATGTGCATATGACGCGTCTGTGAGAAGCGTTTCTTGTTTGTCTATTTTTGGGGAAGCTGCCCTAATCTTTCAATTTGGGGAACTTGTTCTCTGGCTGTCATGCGCGGCAAATACGGCTTGATATAAATTAGAGATAATGAGTTTACTCACTGATGCACATGCTTCCAGTGTAAGGTGCCCTTGATGCCCCCGAAGGATTGAGGGGATGTGCGCTTTACCGCGTTTGTTACACGTTCGCTTTTTTTTTTTGTGGGGTAAACACGCTGAAACGTTGATTTGGTGCATCAAAAAAGTTATTAGAGGACAAATATGAATACTGAGAACACGCAACTAATGAACGAGCTTCTAGTGCAAGCATAATTGGTGTCGGAAACACGGGGAGATGCAGTACAAGTTAGAAGAGTATTCTGTCGACTGGTCTCCTAACTTCGCAACTGCGTCTTGCTTTTATCTTCCGTGTCTATCGTGTGCCAAGTACCCTTCGTTCGCTGCGAACGGAGTGCTTTTCTGTGTTACTGCGTGATATTATGTTTTGATTTTAAATGTATTCTGGAACGTGACATTTTATGTTAAGTTTAAGAAAAAAAAAGTGTTAAAGCAAGTATGTTTTGGTTTTATCGCTTCATGTGACACGACTCAACAGAGGCCTTTTTAAGTACTCCAGGTTTTTAAACAGGTCATGTAAGATAAGTGCTCTCACTAGTCTTGTTTTCCGAGAGTTTGTGTAAGGACTTTGTTGGCGCCTGTCTCAGCGTTGCTTGTGTGAATATATTTCATTTTTGAAGTACTTGAAAGTATACGGTGTGTTATAAAGTGTAACGTGGATTGAATGCACATGATCCGGAATGCTTTTTCAGGAGCTAATAAACATACGCTCCTGTCGTCCTGCCTATTTTCTGTCCCTTCTACGTTTTGGTTAGTGCCACTAAATAAGCTACGCTTCAGAGTAACACAACTTGGCCATATTGTGGCTTAAAATCAAGGTTGCCAGTTCTTTGAAGCTTTATCTGAAATCACGGGAAACGCTTTTCCGTCCTACACAAATGTTTAAACAGTTCGGGACAAAACAAAGCGATATTGCATCAGCTTCCTAACACCGGATCTAATGCTGAGGAAGTCGCACTTTTGAATCATGACGGTCGGCACTTGCGTTTGCTCTGCACAAGCACCAAAATGGCGGCGCCCACAACAATGTCGAGGAACGGAGTGCCGACACTCTACGCGCAGCTCATTTAGTGGCCCAGTTTTGGTGCTTCTTTTCTACCCCAGTTTCAGGTTAATTCAACATGGTTAGCAGACGCTGATCCCGCTCCGTTCTGTACCCTTGCACTCACGCGTACTGTCGCGCCACAAGCTTCAGTGTATTTTACAACGCAGGAGAATTCGGTGACGACGTCCCACGTTTCCTCCATTTGCCAAGAAGGATAAGTTTCGTGGTGTTATTGTTTTTCGAGGTTTTATGTCGCGATGGGCTGAAAGAAGGTAGTACGATTATGTTTTGATTTAGGTGTATCCTGGAACATGACATTTTATGTCAAGTTTAAAGTTAGATAAATATGTTAAGTGAAAAGAAGATAGGTTTTGTCGCAGAGGAGAGTTGACATTTAAATCAAAGGGGATTGGTCAACGACCTGAGCGTTCGAGTCATCTTTTATAACAGAGAACAATGCTTTATTTTCATAAGTACCACTTCCCGAAGCACAACTAACGAACCAGTTATAAGCCTCAAGGGCTTGTGAACCTAGCTCGTTAGGTGGTGAAGTCACAGTATTATACAAAATTAGGTATATCTATTTACTCTCGAAAACACATTTAAAAAAAACTCGAAAATTTTAACAAGGGATATATTCAAAAAACAAATGAACAGAAATACTTTGCTACATGAAAACACAATAAAGAAAGAAAATGCCAAAGCATTGTAATAATTTTCGCAGTACTTTTTTAAGTTTCTTTCTAGATGTTATAAACCACTCCAATAATCGCTTTCTGGGCTCTGCCATCTTTGTCCACTGGGCTGTTGAAGACGTTCTGAGCGTGCGCATAGCTATCCTACACGAAATATGAGGCACCGCGCATGCGTACCCAGCCCAGTGACTTAGCGTTTTCCGCCTGGGTGATAAGCGCTGGAAAGGTCTATAGAAAGCAATGATTCAGGTAGGTTCTTGAAAGCATATGGGTATATAGTGCATACGCGTACGCTCACCATATCTTGTTTTGGTTCACGGTACATCAAAACGATGTGATGGTCTCATCGTTCACTTCTGCAGATATGAAGTTTTAAGCATTGAATTCCAGAAGTGCCGGAAGACGACTCTTTCTCTAAAAGGTTCTTCAAAAAACGGTAGTTGAAGTTCACGAAATATATACGTTTTTAATAAGACATCTGGCCTATCAAACGCAGCATTTCCAAAATATATTTTAATAAGGCATTTGCGCTGACGCGCCAAAAAAAAAAAAAAGAGCAACGTGAAAAAATGGTTATGCCGTAGCATAAGTAACTATATGCCAAGGCATGTGTTATCATTTTTTCTAACAGACATGACACGGTCCTCAATCGTTTCCCAAATTACGTTATATCCGTACACTATGAAAAATTACTGTCGAAGTAAATTCCCAGGTATTTTACATATTTCACACACTGAAAAGGTTGGCAGCCACAAGGACTACATGCAGGGGCAACTATGCAGCGCTGCGGTATCTGATGATTGCCCTTGCTTGAGCGGGGCCTAAAATAAACCAGTTTTGTCTTCGAAGCATTCACTTTGAGTAAGTTTCAATAAAACCAGTTCATTGGGGAAATAATATATTTTTGAAGTTTTTGAACGGCAACGTGATAACCCGAGTTACATGACATCAAAACCGTACTGTCTCCGTGTGGGTACATCCCAAAGCCTGGCAGATCACCACGAGACGCGGCTGCCGAAAGTGAAAACGTAGAGCGGCAGACAAGAGGCACGCGTCGCACGGGTCGAGCGAGCAACGATAGCGGTAAAAGCGGTAATAGCTTCCAGCGCACCAAGAGGCGCAATGCCGAAGCCTGGGAAGCGCCGAGCGAAGTGCGTATACACACCGGAGTAGGCCACGCACCCTCGCCCTTAAGGCCCGTTCACACTCTTGCGACCGAGTACGACTGAGAGAGACGAGATTTCTTAAAACTTGTTAAATGTTTTTAGAATGAGGGAACACACTGGGCATTGTGGCGCCATCTATGCGGTTACCCTGGAACTGCATTTCACAAGAGC